GTTATCGTCACTTCGTATCAATCCAATTTCTTTGTACATCTTATAATTAATAAAACCGAAGAGGTTCAAGTTCATAAATAGCCATAAAATAGACCATTCCAATCAGTATGAAATGCAATAAAATATGAAGCGTTGCACCGAAATAAACCGAGGTAATGTCGAATTTGCATAATTTGGACATCAGTTGCGGTCCCATTTGATGCAAATTTATGCAACGATGCTATTCGTAATAGATTCAAATCAATTTGAGGAGATAAAGGTTAGAGAGGCGGCTTGCTTAACAGGCTGTAGGGGCATCGAAATCGAAAGTTCCGCCTACATCCGATGTTGTAGGTCAGTTTTTGAGGCTTTCACACGTGTTACTTAATGGATTACGACCTTTATTTAGTCTTACTCAACTTCTTTATGTAATATTTGATATTGGATGAACTGCTGAGATTTTGATAGTTTATAATATTTGTCTCCTAGTAAGGTGTTTGAGCAGTTGTTAGTAACAGTAGTTCCGGTAACAAAGAAAATTTATTGAATAATAATCTTTTAGCTTACCTTTATGCATCGATCACTTTATTAATCTAGATTACTTTTCATACATTTCACAGCAGAGAGAGAGAGAAGAGAGGTAGGATATAACGGGTTAGTGTAGAGTTGATAGAAAATAAAAATACAAGAAATAAAGTTTGAGAATATAAAGCCAACATAGTGCAACATGCAATTGAGGAATACAAGAGCTAATATGCGATATAAATTAAGATTACAGCAAAAATAAATATACCTACAATATATAAAAATACAAAGATATAAATTGTCTCTGATCATATCAGAGGAAAAATTCTATAAAACCTGTATTAAACAGGTTTCAGAAAATATGATTTAGTGTAGGCAACGTGATATTGTTGGTATCGCAAGCTTCTAAAGGCTATGGTAGCTCACCAAGAGGCGGGCCTTTTACTAAAAAAAAAAAACTCCAAGCAATGTTCAATGTTTGCTCCATCACAAATTACTAACTATAACTTATTATTTACAAATAATATAATTATGCTGGCTGTATAAGCTGATAGCAATATTTTAATGCATGATATTACGTTGACAACGTAAAAGGTCCGGTTGTTATGAAATCTACTGGTTTTAGCATAGGAAATGCATCTGGTATGAGAGGTTTTCTCTCGGAAATGTACCACTTTATTCACCAGTTATTTGTGCAATGACAAGTATTCACTAGAAAAACGTATATTGCATAAAATTGTCGAAGTTCGGTTTTTGATTGATTATTGGAAGGTTAATAAATTTTGGTCTTCGAATGTTTGACCAGAAAGCTTGTCCTGCAGTGTTCCACTGATTCTGCGATATTCACAAATATATCTATATATATGCTCAATAAGGAAAGCTTTCTGCCTGAATTCCGACAGTCTAAACATTCGTATAACAAACTGACAATGATGAAATAGAAGAAAAAGCTGGCACTAGGCCCACTTACAATGTTCAAAGGCGACTTACTATCTTAAATCGTATAGTAATCGAATACTTATGTCAACAAAGTTGTTATGTAATATGTTATGATATGGTGGTTCGAATCGATTACCTCGTTTACCACGCTTACCACGTCCAGTGTGCGCGTGCGCCAGGGATCTTGCATAACAGCTGGCAGTGCGCAGATCGGATGACATCAATTTGTCTACCTTGTAAACTGATAGATAAAGGAATTTGGCTAAAATACCAAACAGGGTACTATGACATTTATTAAATGATTTCCTTTTAAACAGCTTTTATTTAACTTGCAATATACGGGTCAGATCTTGCAACTGATTTTTAAAGCAAAGGCGGACTAGTTAATTTTGCGTACACCCATTACATAGATATCAAACGAAAGGATTCGTTGAGATGAATACGAAAACGCCTGCGTACAATTCTCATCTGACAGTTCGTTTTATCATGTTCTTTGCTCTTTGGCATGTTTGTTTTGCAAGAAAACATTATCAATAAATCAATAAATTTTGTAAGACAGATTTTCGACACGTACATTATAACTTATTCGGTTAAGTGGTTGTTATAATGAAGCAACGTAAAAGATGTTCTAATAAGCCGTTTCGAAATTAGAATCGAGCTAATAATGAACGTGAAATCTATTAATTCATCGCCAGTTAAAGATGCATCATCGATTAGCATCGAGTTTTGTTTTTAATCGTGATAAGTGTAATGAGGTCGAATGAGTTTCAGTTTGATGAATTACAATGGTTTAATTTTTGACGTGACAACGTCTTAAATTAGGTTGCGGCTGGGAGTCACTTATGAAAAAGTGTAACGCTCGGTAACGTTACGATGAGTCTCTCGTGTTAAGTTTAAGTTTACATGTACAATGTTTTAGTAAACAAAATATATTTCTATAGTTAAAATTTGTGCAATTCTTATTTTCATTCAATTCCTTGTTCCTATTGTGCAATTTAATTATATTCATATCAATAAATATTCTACCGAGAAAAAGACGTTGTCACGTAAAATCTTCGCCCGTAAAACCGACTTTACAGGCAACCATTTTTTTTTTTAAATGTCAGTGTGAAGATAGCGCAAAACTGGTGATAAATAAATAAATCAAACGTGTTACTTATTTGTGAAAAAAATCATAAAAAATATTATGATTTTTTTGTTTATTATAATTGTGACTCCTTTCTTTTGATAATTTGGTTAATATGTTTGTTCATTATCGGCCAGTATATTTCTTAATTATAAAAGTCTTCGTTAGTGTTCGTTTTGTCTCAATCATTTTTTTTTCTAATAAACAAACTAAACCAAAAAGTAATACATACATGTTCATCGTAATTTACACTAGCTGCTTGCTGGATTTGTACCCGCAACCGTACTTTCATAATCAGGGTCATCGACCACTCATTCACCTAGCCTTCAAACGAATGATTTAACATCGTCAAAGCATTACATGAGGTGATGCCATTTACAAATCGGTTTACCATAGTGATAGCAATCTCGAACTAGTTTACCTCAATAGCCAGGAATGTAAAGCATTCGATGGCGACTGGCTTACCTTGTCTCTCGAATCAAATAAGAAGGGCCTAACTGAAACAAGCACATGATCAACTTTAAATTTTATAGTTCTTTGTCTTATCCCACTTTGGGTTTAGAAAAGCTCTGTTGGTTACAATACGATTTTTTGCGTTTATGTTCTAGATTTTCCTTTTTTTAATATAAACTCAAAATAAATGTCGCAAAAACACGAAACCCATTGCATCATACTCGGAACGGTTTAATATTTTGTTGCAACGTTAATGGTTATAAATTAGCACATATTGATAACACTGTAACTATTGGAGCAGGGTAACCTAAAATCGATCGATTCTTTCATACCGATTACATAAAGCAATTAGCTTGTTTTTTCTTCACAACGTGCGTTTAGGGTTTTGCAATGACCTGATATGATTGAGCAGTTAGCGATTATAGGAAGTAATGGCGAATGCGTTCCAATTTTGAAAATTACTTTTTTTCTTTTTAACACGAACAGCACGAGTACCTACCACGTTCCGTTTCGTTTCGTCGTGACTGATGTTAATGTTCGTCGCTTCGTAAAGTTTTACAAATAGGAATATCTAGTTTAAATTCCGGTGCTGCTGATTAAATAAATGATTAAATAGTTTTAACGGGTTAATGCACGAAACTTTATTTATTTATTGACGTTTCGCAGCCGTTTCAGGTCTGCATTGTCAGAATAATATTTTTTTATTTAATTTTAATGAGTGATGTGCGTGAAAACCTATGTAACAAATACTGCTGATTAATAGGAGTAGCAATATTATACTATTACATACATCATACTTAGACTTTTTTTTTAATGTTTATGTGTCCACTACATAACATATTTCAACTACAATAAAGTTTTTCGATCTGTTTATGTTTTGTAACTTTGCCTAGTTTCTAAACTTTTCACATATTGTGGAAGAGAGAGTTGTATTGCAAAACCGTTTGGATGAGCCTCCTCTAAGTTGGCATTAAATGCCAACCGGTACGTGCTACTGGCATATATATGTATGTGACATAGCGGTACACAATCCGCGCGAAACTACTAATACTTACTCGTTCAATTTACTCTAACAATATTTGTCAAACTTACGTCATTCAATAGTTGGCGATAGTAAAGTTTATGACACATTTATGCAAAAGCTCACATATTCATCTTAAAACCTCAAATATTAAAAACGCTTTAAAGTAACATTAATAATAAAAATTAATTACATAAGACACTGACTGCATTAAACTTCCGCCAACGTGCTGTACCTTAAGATCCCTGGATGATAGAGTGTAAACAATTAACCGTTTCAAAACTTCAAATTGGTTGAATGAGCAAGCGTGTAATTAAGTGAAACAAATGAACACGTGCGCCGGAGATCATAGTACAGACACGTGCGCCGGCAATTAGACAATACCACAACAAATGAGGCAACCACAGGCGTCAACTAAGCTGTGGGACAGTTGCCCAACAAGTGTCGCACTGTCGTTACATTCCTCGAAGAAAGAGCGGCCCTGCCCCCGACCGGTGCGTTGCAAAACGCGCGCGCCTTAACCGCGCTTGGCAAACCCCCGTGGCATTTTGTAATTTTCAATTAAAATTCAAGAAGAAGGCTCGTGTTTGGCGACGTCGACTCGTTTCCTCATCTCCGCATCGCAATAAATTGACACTCCGTAACGATATGCTTGAACTGGTTTAATAAGCTCGTCGCTTAAAAGTCCGGATGTTGCCGAAAGTTTAGTTAAATTTCATCCTCTGGATCGTTAGGATCGAGTTTTTATAAACAGGTTTTCTTTGTTCAATATAAGCATCTTGCATGTTACGAAAAACAACACGAGTAAACGTTATTGAAGAAAAAACCCACTCCTTGAAATACGATTTCATTCAAAGTAAATGATATGCAAACAAAGTGAACGTCGACTGAAAATCTCTTAGTTTTAATCAACGGAGACGTTAAAATACTCGTACTAATTATTTTTTTCCTCCTCAGCTGTGGCCCAAGAATCCTTCAAATGCCCAGACGATTTCGGCTTCTACCCACACCACATCTCCTGCGACAAATACTGGAAGTGCGACAACGGCGCCGCTGAACTCAAGACATGCGGCAACGGTCTTGCCTTCGACGCTTCAGACTCAAAATACCTGACCGAGAACTGCGACTACCTCCACAATGTCGAGTGCGGAGACAGGACACAGCTTGGTAAGTTACATTTAACCAAAAAAACTATCCTTCCTGTCTGATGTCCCAACGGAGTACAATAAAAATATTGACGTTTAAATCTAGCAGTTCTATTGTTAAAAAATAAAAACTATAACTAAAAAAAAATACACACTTCATGGAAAAATCTTAAGATTCTCGTATTCTTAATTAGAAGTATCACTTTACACTGCACCTTTGAAAGTGTACAGAGCCTTTCGCATTCTTCAGATATTGAGATCAAATGCTAAAAGCTGTACATCCTTATCTCAGTCTCAGTCTCTATATAATCAGTATCCTATAAGCTCTAAAAGATATCAGCCTTAAACGGATTCTATCCTAAAGTACTGTGAAATGTTTACGACTTTTTTGTATAATTAATAAATGTTAACCAATAAGAGAATTTGATTTAAAATATTCAAGACCACAAAAAAATAATATACAAACTTTCGACATCTTGCAAAACCTTTCTGAAATTAATCCAAAAAATTTCGTTGTAGTTTTATGATTTTTAAATTCAAATATTCGTTGGCAACAGCGAGGATTACTCAATTATAATGGTCAAGGCTAGAGAATTTACATAACGATATTATTCGCGAAGCAAAACCAGGATGTGTTCCGAAGGTCAGTAGACTAATACTCACGTTACTACGACTGGCTCACATTTGTCAAAGAGAAGGGGTTCGATTGAATTATATTATGCGCGACATATGCAAATGTTTGTGTGTACTTCAAACTCGTTATTACCAAAGCTAGGCAGCCTTGAACTAGAACGACTTTTAATCTTCGTAGAAAACATCGACGATCACTTTTTGTGAGTCTAATCTTGACTTTTTGCGAGCTTACTTCTTAGAAGGAATAATCTGTTGACTTTTGATGCATTTGGGGTTGTTATTGAAGCAATTTTCCTCTTCACCGTTTTTTTGTAAATTTATATTTGTGATCAATAACTTTGGTAGACATCATTAATATGTTAGGAACGAACACATTAGGTATATTATTGGTGTGCTTAAAATAGACTAAGGTTTATTTCGAAACAATTTAATCAAAAATTAAATTGTTTCGATCGTTCTAAATGTACTTACCTACTTTTATAAAGATAATCATCTTTATTAAAATTAATTATCTCTCTTAGTTCCTCGTTATATTTAGTGGTTCAAATGTTTTTCTTTCTTTCTTCCTAGTTTCATCATTATTGCTCGATGCATAATTTATTTTGAGTTACTTAAGAGCAAATAGGTATAATGTTTCTGTTCCATTCATAGTAAAGTTTACTCCTTTTATTATCATCTTCTATTCTCTTTATTTTATATTTTCTCTTTGCGTACAGAGGCCCCAATCTCCACACCCCACTGCTCGCGGCTGTACGGCATCTTCCCCGATGATGCCAAATGCGACGTGTTCTGGAACTGCTGGAACGGCGAGGCGTCCCGCTACCAGTGCAGCCCTGGCCTTGCTTACGACAGAGAGTCGCGCGTCTGCATGTGGGCCGACCAGGTGCCCGAGTGCAAGAACGAAGGTATGGCACGCATCAGAGTCAGACCACTACACTATAACACTTAGATAAAGTAAATTCCATCCCAATAAACACTATTACTAATAGAGCTTTTCGTCTAGCATACTGTATGGAAATGGCTTCCTAAATAAGTTTGCCATATCTTAATGATCCGTACTGTCAAAGTTAAAAAAACGATAGCTCTTTGTAAAGGAAAATCTTGGAATATAAGTGTAAATTTCTTATTAATAAATCTCCGGCTTAATTGCCCAACTTTACTAAATATGACAGCTGATGCGGTAGAAAAATGTATCGCATCAGCAAATCTAACAACGGCATTTCAAACGCGACTATCACGTCTCGTCTCGTTTTCCTCAGAGGTAGCCAACGGATTCTCTTGCCCCGCCCCCGGTGAGGTATCGAACGCGGGCTCATTCAGCCGTCACGCCCACCCTGAGGACTGCCGCAAGTACTACATCTGTCTGGAGGGCGTCGCCCGCGAGTACGGTTGCCCCATCGGCACAGTCTTCAAGATCGGCGATTCCGATGGCACTGGCAACTGCGAAGACCCCGAAGATGTTCCCGGATGGTGAGCATACTAAAATTATCATCAGCCCTCGATGATGATTCTCCCTTGGATCGCCTTGGATTGTCTCGCAAAGTTTTGACTATTAGCGTATTCAAGAAAGGATCATCAGCTCATGTACTCGTATATTGTGTATGTAGGAACTCCTCGAATGATACAATTCTCTTCCAAACCCCACTGGTACTGTGGTGTGTCAACTCATATTGTGGTATAGTTAACACCTTCTTCGGTTTATCTACTGGAATACCAATGAGGTCGATCAATATTCTTAACTTTCAATTATATCATTAAATGAGAGCCTTATTGGTATCCCAGTAACATCATTGGTATTATTATAATTAATAATATTTCAATAATATAATATGGAGAGTATTTAACCACTCCCGCACAACCAGTGACCCCGTGACTAACAATACTTCTGCACCAATGTTCTCACACAATGCACTTTCGTGTAAAATACACGACCACGGCACAAACTATGGAACATAGTATTGTATAAATAGACTCGCCCACCTAAATAGTTGAGGCAGGCATGCGGTTCGGAGCCTTGCGCGGTTACGACATATTTAGGTCAGTATTGAAATTAACATGACTTAAGGCACACTCTGAATGCAGGGTGACACGACCGTGGTCATTGCCGGCTGGTGGAACGGATGGGTAGCCCACATATTAATAGTTCTTTGTGAAATCTGTGCCGACGCTAACTGTACAGCAGTAAAAATTTACACGCCTTCATTTTTGTAAAAACTAAATTACGTAATTTGTTTGGGTGGATTGCTTTGATCTTAAACAGATACTCCGAACCGATTTATATTGTAACGTTCAGATAAATTTAAATAGCAAACTAGGACTAATTAACGAATGCACAATCTTTCAACCCGTGTTAGAAATCAATTGTCATTGTTTTATAATACAAAAGCCAGCTGCATCTCAGATGAAACTAGTGTCAGATACGAAACAATGAAGAGATTGGCGTATAGCTTATCACCGGTTCACGGTCCGTCTGCCTAGAACAATCACACGCAATATTGTGATGAGACGCAACCGATATCGGTTCAGATGAAGGTCGTAGAAACAAGTATTTATTATTATTCCTATCCTTAGCTTTTTGCAGTAGCTCCGAATCGCATACAGCCTAGAAAAAACATTTGTTAGGTACATAAATACAGCGACATTACTTGGAAAAGCGAACGGGTAACACTCCACCCGCTATTTCAAGGCAGTTCACTCGATATCGCCATAAACAAGGCGCAATTACACAATTGACTCGGTTAGAATGACTAAGTAAAAGTAGCTAGAAATTGTGATAACGTTAGCGGATGTAGGTTGTAGAATGTAGAGTTAAGAGCAGTAGAAGCGGCAGGCAGTAAGGTGCCCGTACATTTTCAGCGAGGACTACTATGGTGACCTGGATCTGAAGACCATCCGCAAGAGCGAGCTCCTGGCTGGTCTCCAGCAAGACGGCGGCTCTCGCGTCACCCAGAAGCATCTCAAACCCCGTCCAGTCCAAAAGGAAAACTAAACTCTTCCGCCCACCTTTAACCTCTTAATACTCATATCGTTATCTACATTACAAAATCATTTTCGCACCGAAAGCAACAGCGTCGCACACTGGCAGTTATAAATAAAAATAAGAATGTTACTTTCCGTGCGTAAAGGTTTTGTTCCAGGTTCAAATTTAGATTGGATTTAAGTGTGGAGAGTATTTGTTTCTAGTTGCCAAATACGTTTCGAAGCCTTTTATAAAGCAGTTTCAGAGGCAGTTAGGAAATTAATAGAAAACTACAGCGATAGAGAAATATTTATTTTTACATTGTACCATATCTCGATTAGTGCTAACTAACACTCAAAAACAGAAGTTATTTAATTTAACCCCCATTTTTATGTATTATAGAGTTTTTGTACCTAATTGCAATTTAAGGAGATTTAAGCAGGTTTGCATTTAAAGTTAGTTTTGTGTTGTAGCATTGCCGTTAATTCGATATATTACCACGACCTTGTAAATATTTTGTACTGAATTATCTCGCTGCGACTGAGTGTTGTTGTTTGATAGAAACTGTAATACTTAAGTTTTATTTTTAGTGATATAATAAACAAAAATATAAAAATTTATTGTTGTCTTTATTGTGTATCATTAGATAGATTTGCACGATTGCACATTTTCCCTAACATTATCTACTTTCACAACTACACTGTTTCCTTCTTATTGCATACACTTTCTAATAACAGTTCGTTCTTCTTGGACCTATCTATTTAATTTTCTTCTAACTAAGATGAGTTGTAACAATAATAATTCATCTCTTTGACTCCGAATGACTTTCCTTGGGTTATCAGGTATGTTAAATTTCATAACATCATAATATATCTATGGTTGTAATTAAAAATATGTATTTGAGATTTTAATAAAATTGCTGTTTCAATTTAAACAATACTTATAAAAATTGAATTTATAATTTGCTAAAATGCTTTTGAAAAAGTCTTGATTTTAGAAATTTTAATATTTTTCGTTTGATTCATTTGATATATTAAACGAAACAGTTGTTTGAATTTTACATGAAATTTTCCACAGTGAGGATTACTACGGGGACGTGGATCTGAAGGCCCTGAAGAAACTTGGATTCTGAATGTCAAGAAGCGACTCCAAGGACAGACTGAAGCTCAACCCATTTGACTTGATATGAAAATAGCCTCTCTAAAAAGTTTCAAATTCATTTTATCTCTGTTAACAAATGCGCCTTTAATTTTTTGTTATGCCAAATTAATAATTTATAAGCGTACCTGAGAAAATGTGAAATAATGTTGACGCAATACAGAGGCATGGCATGATCTAACTAAAGAATGATAATGACTTTAAGTTCTCAACCTTCATGACTGCGCATTGTCACATTTACATAAAAAAGGTTGTTACGCACAATTGTCACGTAATACTAAATGTTATGCCAGTGAAACTTTCAATCTCTTTTACCGTACTCATGTGTGAAAGAGGATAAGATAGTGTCCTTAGAATAGCGTATAAAAACGATGGACTCGTTTAGTCGGTTTAATGTGCGTGCTGTGAGGTTAGCGATATATCTGTCTGAAGAGGCGCTCTCACGAATGTAGATTAAGTGAACGTATCGCAATTATTGAGCGAGTATTGACTCCGAAAGCGCTTTTCGTCAAATTATTTAGTTTCTTTTGTGTACTCAATATTAATATAGCTATGTTATAATTTGAACAAAAGTTTTACCCAGGTAATTGAACATTAGTTTTCAGGAATTTAAGAAACAAAGAAGTTACTTTGACTTAAAGCGCTTTGACAGAAAGTGGGAAGTGCAGATTAGAGTCGGTTAGCATTAGATGCATTCAATTGGTTCTGTTATAATCTCAAGTAATGGATTGCCAGTAAACATTCAAATTATTATTTACTCATACAGTTCTTATTTAAACTTACGAGCAAAAAATCGACAAATGCATTATCGCAATTACTCTATTGTGAATCAGCTCTTTTACTCTTATAATAAATATATATTTAGAATTCATAGCATGTAATAATACGTCTTGAAGGGGCAGTCGATTCATTTGCTCTTAAGATTTTATTTAAAAAGTGCTGTTGCCAAAAAATCAACACGGAGATTAATTTGACATGGCACCAACGAATCCTTGTTGGTTCTGTGTCGAAGCAATATGTTGTTTATGTCATTAAATAGGATAAGCTAGTCAATAAGTTTTAATGTGGATTTATGTAAATAAACATGCTAATTATTGAATATGATTGCATCATTGATTTATAACCTTTTAAATTCACTGTTCAATTCTGATGAGAAAAAAATGTTGCTCCCAATATTGTTGTAATATAGTAAGCACATTAGCAGCTACCTTATTTAGTCTGAAAAACTTACTAATTTTATAAATGTGAAAGTTTGTATGTTTCTGTGTTTGTATGGTCATTGAATGGGTGACCAAAAATGTACTATCTCGAGCTCCTCCGTGCTTCGGGGGGCACGTTAAGCCGTTGGTCCCGGCTGCATCTGCAGTCGTTAGCACCCGCCAATCCGCACTGGGCCCGCGTGGTGGGTCATGGCCCAATCTCCCTATTCCATCCATAGGGAAGGCCTGTGCCCCAGCAGTGGGGACATTAATAGGCTGATGATGATGATGTGTCTTTCTTAATCTCAAAGACTACTGAATGGATTTGGATGAAATTTGGTACGTACTACGTATGTAGTTTATGCCATAGATTAAGACATAGTATACTTTTTATCCCGGAAATACACTATGTTCCTGAGGGATTCTCAAAAAACCAAAGTTTAACTAATCTAGACTGCAAAACATAAAAAATGCAATATCTACAAGTAGCTAGGTATCCCTTTCAGATGGAAACCGACGCACTTAGACACGCTTATAAACTTTTAAGTTTGATTATCCTTGGTTTTCGTGATATACAAAACCGTAGAAAACGAGGAGGCGATTTCGTGATATACGCAACCATACGAGGAGTTAAATACACACCTCGAGCCTCTTCAATTACGCAGTAACGCGGCGTCATTATGCACATTCTACCATCTTTACCACGGCTGATGTACTCAGGAATTATTCTCCCTTATCTCATCTTCCCCTTTCTTTTAGAGGACCACGCACGCTGGCCTACATTGTCACCGACTTACTGTGGCCACTATGCGAACATAGAAATTGGGTGGCTCGTTTTTTTGACGCACTATCCGCAAATGGAATACTTTGACCGCTCACGTGTATCCCCTCTTCCACAACCCGGGATCCTTTACAGGTGGCGTGAAGAAGCCATATGCAGGTCGTCGAGGAAAGGATGGCTGGTGTGGCAGGTAGAACTGTTGATCCAACTATCTTTGCGTCTGGACTTCACTGTTGCTTAACATCAGATAGGGTGGAGTCATATGTCGGACCTATTTATAAAAAAACCTGTTAAACAAAACCCGTCACATGCTTCTACGCACAAAACAGAGAAAGATGTTTCAGGAAGCCGTTTGATATCTGTTAAAACCTTTTCCTTTCCGTACAAGCCAAGGTTTTTGTGTCGTCAAGGCTTTTAGTAGTTGTATAATGTTACTTCATAAAAAATAGCTGCTGTGTGTAAAACACGTGAGCGTATCATCTAAGCGTGTTTAAATGTAGAAGTCCTTGAGCTTATAGGAAACTTACGCAATCCGTTTAACTGATAAATCCTCTATGGTAAGGCATCCTATCACTAAATTAATAGACCAATTACAACTACGGTAGCGCTTCTGCTTTATATCCTAAAAGTTCATGGGTTCGAATCGCAACAGTGGAATTTATTTGAGGCTAGCGACTTTGTTCGCGTTAACTTGAGTTTTTTGAGAATCCCACAGGAAACTTGCACTTTTCCGGGATAAAAATATGTCTCAATCCTGGTCATAAACTATATGCGTACCAAATTTCATCCAAATCCGTTCAGCAGTTTTTGCTTGATTGAGTGACAAACATACAAAATGTCACGATTATAATATTCGTAGGAAGTACAAAAACAAGATCTGCTAAGTTTGGGACTAAATGATTATTGTGAGATATCCGCAATATATTTATTTTCGATATCTACTTTACGACCAATCGCGCTGCAGCTAGCACGTGAATCTGTGGTTGGAATATTCATCATTAAGTACCTATCTAAAGCATATGATATTCTACAAATAGAGGAGGAGGAGAGGAGGTCCATAGTAAAAAAATCAAAGTCAAAATATCTTTATTCAAATTGATGGCCGGCCATCAGATGGGTGATCAAAGATTTATCATCTCCAATTCCTTGCGTGTTTCGGAAGGCTGGTTGGTGTGATTAAGGGCGTGCGCACCGTTAAGCGGAGCGGACGTCCGTCGCGGGGATCCGCTCCGTGCTCCGTCACGGGACCCGTTCAAGAGAGGCCGCTCGCCTCTTCTCGCAGAACCAGTACAATTTTAATTGCGTAGGTGAACAGTCGATACTAGATTATTTTTGTTGATAATACTACCTAGTTAAAAGAGTACGCACAAAAGACAGCCAATCGAGCGTGCACCGTCACCCGCGAGGCGGATCTATGAACAAGCAAGCCGAGCGGACGCCCGCTCCGTGCCCTGCTTAACAGTGCGCATGCTCTTATAATTAGAACACGAATTTCAAATAATTTTTAATCACACCGGCGAATTCCGCGGTGAAAAGTGAGTTTTTTCTTACAGAATAGCACTGCTGGGAAGGATTGCTGCTTGGCACATTTAATTTTTCTTTTCATCTCCTTCCACCATGATAAATACACCAGTCCTCCCATTCATCTGAGTATATCACAGCGTCATCATCTGAGCTCGGTTCGCTGAGCTTTCTAAAAATTTGTCCAAAAATCTATAAACACTTTCAGAAAATGCGACCAAATCTTATGTTTGTTCGGTATAAAAAATCCCATAGCCGTATTTCAATTCCAAGTAATATCATCTTTTTGCCAAATCTATAGATAACTCAAAGGTGACTGACTGACATAGTGATCTATCAACGCACAGCCCAAACCACTGGACGGATCGGGCTGAAATTTAGCATGCAGGTAGATGTTATGACGTAGGCGTCCGCTAAGAAAGGATTTTGATCAATTCTACCCCCAAGGGGATAAAATAGGGAATGAAATTGTATGAAACTTTGCCAATTTTAAGCCGATCGGGCTGAGACTTTGGATGCAGGTATAAGAAGAATCATAGATGAATGTCATTGTGTATAATATATAAGGTTTTTCAACAAGAACTTTGTTTTCTAAAACAAAATAAAACAATAAAATTAGATGAATATGATTCAATTTTTTATTGAATTACAAAGAGAAAAGATCGGCAATTATGAATGAAAAATGATATCTTGCAAATGTCCACCACAAGCACGCTGACAGATGTCGATTCTTTCATCAAAGTTTTTTATTCCTGTTTGGCAAAATGGCGGGACTATTTCATTAATCACATCACGGATTTTGAGTTTTACGGCTGCAATCAATTCGATTGGCCCCGTATACACTCTGTCCTTAACAAAAAATAATCTAGTGGTGTTAAATCACATGATCTGGCTGGCCACTTAACAGCTGAGTTTAGTGAAATTGATCGTTTCATTAGCTGTGTGACAAGTGGCGCCGTCCTATTGAAACCACATATCGGTGATATCAACATCACCAATAGAAGGTCAAAATTCGCCATTTGGTGGTTCTGGATAACCCCAATTGCTGAGAACGTCGTAGAATTGACAAATTTGGATCTCCCTCAACACTGTGGCTCACGGCTGCGATGCTTTCAGTTGAACGACCCGGTCGAACACGCGTTGGTGTTGGCACATTTTGCATCGAGCCTGTCGATTCAAATTTGACGACCAAATTCTTTATAGCGGTCTCAGAAGGACGAATATGTTGTCCGAAAATATCACGAATTTGACAAAATTTAACTGTAACAGTACCACTATTTTCTTAGTAGATTTTAATTATTTTAATTCGATTTTCAAGCGAAATTGAATTCGTTGTAACAATTGCCAATGCATCTACTACGAATACGTCAAAAAACTAAATGTGAAAACGATCATATTGTTGGTGTAGCCACAATTGAAAAACAAAGTTCTTGTTGAACAACCCTATACAAGCCTGAGAACAAAAACTGTAGTCTACACTTCAGTTCTACATCGAAGCAAAGCGAGGGCGGGCCGCTAGTTTCGTTATATTTTTGTATGATTAGGTAATAATAACAATTTTCCTATATATGGTGTTCGATTTTATATTTTTAGATGCCAGGACATTCTAAAGGTGAATATAAAGAAAACGACAAACGGATATCTTATAATGTATAATTCTACAAAAAACTAATAGAATAGGACTTTAAATAGACGTGATGTATACAAATCGCACACAATTTTATAATACTGTATTGATCAGTTCGATTGTTCTGGATTCGCGTCTGTAAGCTCCTTGAACTTCAGAAAACGGACTGCGTCTTGTGGAGACATTATGGCTACAGGAGTTGCCCAGTCTGAAAAAAAAAATACGTATTATGAGTCAACACAAATGTAGTGTAAAATATTTGCATGCTATTTAAGATGGCTGAATGGGCCGAACTTCAAAATTTGTAAGATCCCCAGTGTACCCTATTCAAATGCAAATAAATAAATTCTAATTCTAACACAATATCCATTCATCACCATCATCGTCAGCCTATCAATGTCCCCACTGCACGAGCACAGGCCTTCACGGAAAAACTTGAGATAGTAAATTTTTGGTTACCCATCTAATAATCGACCACTGCGAAAGTTGCTTAAATTCAACAATCACAGCCGAACGCGCCAACCACTTGCGCCATCGAGCTCGTCCAGTTTCTACCGAATACAAAGTTTAAAGGGACTTATAATGATTTTCCAAGAACCTCTATAGCCAAGTTGAGGGACAAAGTGACTATTTCCAAAGGCGCAGGTTCGTATTGTAATATTTTGTCAATTTTTCCGTTTATTTTACTAAAGTTAGTGAATTACGGTCGTTATTATTAGTATAAAATTATTAGTTATTAGCATAAAATATTATATAATATTGGATAATAGAGTTTTAAGACTTATCAATTGACTTCTCGATCTAAACGCCTAGAAATAAAATCGTGGCAAAGAAAAATAGTTCTGATTTACACAATGACATAAGTTTTTAGTTATACGTTAGTTTAGTTTAGTTTTTTCAGGGCGATCTCCGCACTTAGTCCTAATTATTGGACCATTGTGCGTGTCTCGAAACATAGCCTAAGTTACTGCAGAGGGAAAGCAGCCTTGGCAGACTGCTGCAAGCTTCCGGAAGTATGTTATACGTATAAGTAACATATCTGCTGTCCTAGACGGGTGCTCTTAATAAGAAAATCATTTTAAAATAACTGCTTATTATAAAACTTACTCTGGTTATTATAAACGGAATTCTGCATGAATATTGCGTTTCCGTCAGTTATCTTCGGCTTGAACTGAAAATCTGGGAGTTTGGTATCTTCTAAAGCATTTGTAGTAGCCGCTGGGATACCGGGTACGATGTTTGATTGATCCACGCGGTTATCGGAGTAGGATGAATCAGGGATTTTATTTATCTGCTGGAAAATGGTGCTTGGAAATGTTGATGGCAGATTGACGACTTCAGGTGGAACAGGTCTTTGTGCGAAGATAGGTTTGGTAGTCGATGGCTCGGTGGGAATCGGAGGGATGGTTGTTGGAACTGATGGCGTGGTTGGGACGACTGCAGGTGCTTGGGGAGGGTTCCCTGAAGAGCTCGAACAGTCCACCAGATTCGGGTAATCACAGACGCCTAAGTTCTGAAAGAATTGAGTATTTATCAAGGAAAAGTTATTAATATGTACTTATGCACCGTGAATTTTGAGTTACCTGAGAAAATTTGCTAACGAATTTAGACAACGATTTAGGTTGTATTTGCGCACATTTTTTTCTTTAATAATTTCATCCTTACTAATATTATAAAGGCGAAAGTTTGTTTGGATGGATGTATGGATGGATGTTTGTTCCTCTTTCACGCAAAAACTACTAAACGGATTTTAATGAAACTTTACAGTAATGTAGCTTATAGATCAGAATAACACATAGGCTATAATTTATAAAGATATTGTGTGAATTGTCCAAAATATAACGATAAATGTCATTTAAGTCTGAAAAAATTCTGCAATCTGCGAGCTATTCAGGCGTGTAAGGATAAAATTGTCTAAAAAATATCCCGCAACAGCATATGTCTATCTTTTATGGTTGACTCACAATAACACGTGTAATTATATAAATAAAGTCATTCTTTATAGCACAAGCCTGAGAACAAAAAGTATAGTTTACACTACAGCTCTACACCGAAGCGAAGCGAGGGCGGGCCACTAGTTTCGAAATATTTCTCTCATGTTAACTCAGTAATTGCGCAATTATAAAACCTTAACACTTTAAAATGTCATATACCCATTTAAATAAAATTACTAATAGGATCTACGTACTTTAATAATTTCATAATAGGTGTGTTATTTACAAATTTGCGCCGTTTCAGGATAAGGTAAATGATATAAATCAAAATGATTGTGTGTGTTTACTTATTTTTAATTTTCTTATGTTGCTCAGGAAAATTCACGGTGTATAGCTTCATGTTGAACGTTACTTCTGAACATACATAAATTGAAGAATCTAAAATTCCTACTTCAAATATAAATGCGAAAGTAACTAATTCTGTCTGTCTGTCACATTTTTATGTTATGGAATACTAGGTGATTGAAAGAAAAACATAATATTAAATAGAAATTAATACGTTTTTGTGAATATATATATATATAAACAGCCAGGCTCAGGTATAAATGCTCGCATTCATCATATTAAATGTACTAATTTATTGCCTTATAGCCCGTGATATATGTACCAGATATAATCGACTTTGATAATATCAATCAATCAATCATTTATTTGCAAATACAGGTGATGAAAAGGTGTTAAATTATAAAACATTAAATGCTTATTCCATATTTTTCCCCACAACACAAATTAAAATAAACAAATAGTTACATCAATTTACAAAGGTTTGTCCTCTAAAAAATCCATAATACGCCTTTCTAAGTAATATATTCTTTAATTTTAAACAAAATATATTGGGACTTGCAGCTTTTCTAATTTCATATAGTATTTTATTATATACTTGAGGTACCATACAAAGTACACTATTATTCATAAGCCATGTCTTGTTAGATGGTAAACAAAGTCTATTTTCGAATCTCCTACTGTTTAATGTATCATATAAGTGAAAAAACATAGGTACCCTTTCCGTAATTTTTATCAGCTGATTGTAAAGTTGTTTTATTCTAGGGGGTTTTCTGGCTGTCAGTCGAACTTGCTGTTACTGCTAGTAATTAAACTTTTATGGATAGCATCCTTCACGCAGGTACATTAAATAATTGGTGTTTCGATATTCGTCGGCAATGCGGATGGTTGTAATTTTCCCGATGGATAAAAATAAATTCGAGGCTAACAAGATTATCTTGAGACTGTTTAAACGTTTTTACCGATGTAAGTTATTGGAGACAATCGACAACTAAGGTCTGTATAATTACTGGTTGTATATTTCTATTGTACATATATACATTTATATGACAAGCTTTTGTTTGCCGACATCATCATCATCATTAGCCTGTCAATGTCCCCACTGCTGGGGCTCAGGCCTTGGGCCAAGACCCACCACGCGGGCCCAGTGAGGATTGGTGCCAACGTCTGCAGATGCAGCCGGGACCAACGGCTTAACGTGCCTTCCGAAGCACGGAAGAACTCGAGATACAAGATTATTGGTCACCCATCAAATGACCGAATATTGCGAAAGTTGCTTAACTTCAACGATATTGTATTCTACCACATACATGATAGTACTTTTATACTGATAATTAAAGCAATTCGTGCAAAATTATTCCCTAACCATTCCAAAATATCAAAATGCACAACGTTAATATTCAAGTTTTCACTTCTGCCGGCACTCCCGGAGTGTCGTCGTTTTTTTATTTATTTATTACCTGGCTGTAGGCTAGATTAGCAGGGCACTTGAACTTGACCGGCTTGTGATTAACGCACACGAAGAACTCGTTGCAGTTCAGCTCATTCCTGAAGGTCTCGAAGTCTTGGCGGCACTGCGGTGATGCAGGATCTGGAATCACTAAAAGAAAGAGAATTTATTTTATTTCCATCTTCGCAAACGTAAAAGAGGGTATTTCTTCTTACTGCTAGTACTAATAGTCTGAACTACAACTGGGCGAGGAGATAGTTCGCAGTGTGTGTAATCCAAGTATGAAAAGATGCCGGCTGCCATAGGAACGTTTTTTTTGTGTTTATACTGTTGGTCGCAGATGACCTTTATAGCGTCGCCGGGCTTAGTGACGGTGAGATCCTAAGGGGACCTCAAGCCGAGAATTGGCGAGTACTTCTAGGAGTATTTCAGGCGGATGGCATCTCCCCACGGGGGGAGTATCCTCTCCGTCTGGAGCCTCTAGACTGCTCGAACCTGAGGGGGTGGGAGAGGGTATGACCTAAACTTAAGGAATAAGCTACACTTTACAGAAAACTGTGGCTAAAAACACTGAAACTTTTTTTTAAGCCACTTCAACCTTATTGAAATTCTTAATTTATCATTGTACTTATAGGATAAACGAAGACTACGCTTGTATTAGTTACTCCATGTTTTGCCTCTGTTTATTGAATGGCAAATGGCATTTGAGTAACATGAACAAAACACGGCGTAACTATTCTAAGCTTATTCCTTGTTTATTAATAAGGGGGGTTATGTTTTATTGTTGTTCGCATATATCTGTCCCAGAAATTTGTAGGCCGATTTTGATTATTAAGTTTTTTGTTTAAATGAGTTTTTCCGACCTATATAAATTTGGTAGTTTTATATATTTGATTAGATAGAGAAGACTTATGGTAGGCGACCTGCGAGAAAACTCTGATATCTCAAATTAAATAGCCTGTAAATGACAGGCTATTTAATCATCTTTCTCATATATATCTTAAAAAAATAACATAGCCGTTTTTTTCACTGTACGACGTAAAAAGTGATACAAAGACTTTTTAGAAAAAAAAAAGGGAATACGGTAGCCAATATAACCGTACGTTCACGCTTTCTGTAAACGTGGGACCCAAATAACAAAAATAATAATACGATATTCATTACTTTCATAATACAAAATCAAAGAAGTTTGAGCCCATCCCTCGACCTCCATAAAGGGCATTGACTCCTTCGAAATGCAGGTGTTACTTTAACTCATGATGTGCAAATAAAAGAGATGAGATGTCGTCATTGGTAATGTCGAGAGGATATTATGTAAATCCAATGAATCGCTATTCAACTTTGTTGCACAACCTTTGTCGACCTTTACATCTTCACATGTTTGCTGGGACGAGTTGAAAAGTTGTTTTCAAAAATCAAATGAGGAGAAATAACGCGGCTATTGTTAAACACTAGTTGATTATACTTTTGTAGTGTAAACTATGTTCAAATATATTGGTACTAAATTCGTTTTAATCATTTACATTATTCTAAACAAAATAAAAACCAAAATATTAAATATAAACTTACAGAACTGCAAAAATTCGACTTTAGTGAACAAGAAATTTAAAAATCAGAACAGATGTGAGGTTTTATCAAAGACATATGAAGATTTCTTTAGGAATCTGCCATATAGTCGCATAAAATATTACGTCTGTACATAAGACGATCAACTTATTCAGATTTATAAGACAGTTGAAAAAGGGGACGCATTATGATAACAAAAAATTGTCAAAGAAGTCTAGGATTTTAAGCTTTTGTTGGCAGCTGTATTAGATAGGCTGTCTCAAGTTTGGTTCCCGGAAGAGAACTCCTCGCATGATGTTTCTGTCAGGCCGGAGCTGTGTCTACCTTGTTCGAAAAGCTGTTTCTAACGGTGGTTAGAGCGTTTGGTCTACGATTTTGGAAGTTAAACAACTTCCGAATGGCCTTTCATTGGATGGGTGACCAATAAATTTTTGTCCCGAGCTCGTCCGTGTTTCGGATGGTAAGTTAAATCTTTGATACCGGCTGCATTTGCAATCGCAAGCACCCGCTAATCCCACTGAACCCATATTGTGGCATGTCATGGCCCATTCTGCTTGTGCCATCCCGTCCTTCTCCTGTGCCCCAGCAGAGGGCACGATAATAGAATGATGATGATACTTATATTTTACTTACATGAAGCCCGATCTTTGCACTTCACCATGTCAGCATAGTCGCAGTAGCCTTCACTAGAAAACATCAATCCTTCAGGGCACTCCAGCTCGTAAGCCCATCCATCCCAGCAGCTCAGGAAACCCCTGCAGGTGCTAGGAGCTGGTATCTGAGTCCTGCGTCCGACGCATAGCGGGTTGTAATCTGGTCCTCGCGAGGATATCATTAGCTTGTTTTGGTACAGCGGGTCTCTGATGATCTGCTGCACTACGTCTTGGGACACTGGTATCATGAAAGCTGCCGTCGATGTGTTGATGATCAGAGGCTGCAAGGAGATAAAAATATTCAAAGGAGAATAGAAATGAGGACATGTTATTATGGGTAAAAACAATAAGAACCCATTTAAATAATTTGACAGAGTAGAAAGATATTGGGAAAAAATTTAAAATATAAGAAATCCCGTTTTCGGCTCATTCCAATTCTGCTGCTGATTAATATGTTACATAGGTTGTAACAATTGTACATGATCACATTGAGCCAAACCACTTCTAACACACCTGTTATCTAACCACTGAAAGTTATGACATCCCCTAAACTTAATTAATGTAACTATTGTGTCACTACCAGGTATTTGAGTCTTTTCCGTTTATTTTTGAATACAAACAACGGGAATATTTTTTTATGACTGTACACATCCAATTCACTAAAGCGGTCGTAATGATCGCAGAATCAGATTAATTTAGCTTAAAATCTAATAGATCGACTTTTTTTGATCAATCTGAAACTAAGAGTTGGCGGACACACGCAATCTTTGTGGCGATTGCAGATGAGAACGAGACATAAATTAATAAAGAAAACACAAATATAAATTAGGTGCCCAAAATATCAAATGCTAACAACTTTATGAATTGTTTTATTTAAGAAAAAGCATATAATAACACTTGTACATTTTCTTTACCAGGACATGGAATTCTTGCAATATTGTTAATAACATATAAATTTCAATAATAAAAATAGTTTATTTCTCTCATAAAATATGTACCAATTACTTATAATAGCCAAGAAAAAAAAAAAATTAACGACATAATTTTAAAATGCCACTGATTAAATTTAAAACTTCCGCAGTCTATACAAATGTTAACGAAAATAAAATGTTTATTTTATTATCAATTATATTTTGCGGCTATGCTTTTATTACTTTAATACTAAACGTTTAACTGATTTAAATTATATAATTAATTTAATTAAGATATGTAAGTAAAGAGAAGAAGGCCATATACTTGCCATTTTCATTTAAAAACAATAAACAAAATGTTATTTATAAGTCTGTTGTTAATAATGTGATTGATGGCTCATAATTTACTATTAAAGATCTTAAGCAAAAGCTGTCTCTATTGAGCCTTAAAATTGTTGCAAAAGTTACAGCACAACTTTCAGACAATGTGTAATCACTGCTGCCTTTGTATTAAGGCAATGAATGTTTTACAGATAAGTGTGAATTACTGCATGAAGGTACGACTGGCTATTCAAACACAGTTAATTTCACAATCCTTTTGGATATTATAAGTAGCACCGTGTTATATTACAAAGACGTAACTGGTTATGTCGGCTCACAGCCGATGCGACGTAATGACCAATAACCGCCTACTAAGTTATACAACTGATCCCTAATGTCAATATATAGGTACATTATTGGTTTCGCCGGCAGCGGAGCATGGCAAGTGATGAAGAGATGTAAAATACTGTAGTAATTAAGTCTAGATTGATACATTTACATTACCAGCCTATTAATGACCCCACTGCTGGGGCACAGGCCTTCCTTATGGATGGAATAGGGAGATTGGGCAATGACCCACCACGCGGGCCCAGTGCGGATTAGTAGGTGCTAACGACTGCAGATGCACGCGGGACCAATGGCTTAACGTGCCTTCCGAAGCACGGAGGAGCTCGAGATAGTAAATTTTCGGTCACCCATCCAATGACCGACCACTGCGAAAGTTGCTTAACTTCAACCATCGCAGCCGAACGCGCTACCCCCCGCGCCATCGAGCTCCTCCTCATGTACAGTACACCGAAATAAAAAACTTTTTTTAAATATCGGTTTTGACATCAATCCCCTACCCCTTAGAGCTCTGGAATCTTACCGACAGAAATACAACACCACCAAAAGGTACTGGTATTTTACTGTGATCTTCTGTAACGTGGATCTCCACGTTAATCTCCACATAAGTAATCTTACTTACCCAGACTTCATTGTTTTAGTACATCTTTATTAATTTACATTTACAGCTTATAATACATTGTTGTGGGATAAATTTGGATACATGCCACATCAACATCAAATATCTCTCGATGAATTGAAAGGATGGTGGAATAATCATGGCGGTCACTATAAATCCGACGTAGCAGGGTGAGGGCAAGGAGACGGGGGAACCCCCGTCGTCTTCAGGCTCTACCCGGCAGAGGCCTGCGGGGTTTGGACTTCGGAGGTTCAGATCCTGCCTTGCGCAGGTCTTTGCTGATGGCTGTGGATGCCCATGATGCTCCGGGGCATCCCCAACACTCCCCTCTTCCGTGGGGAGAGGAGTGTATCCGTTCGACTCGGACGCTCACTGGAGAGGTGGCGGAAGATTCCGTAAGGGTTCCCGTGGCCTCATCTAGTGCCATTGTCTCAACCACGCTGGTTGGGACCATGGACCGATTGAGGTGAGGGGCATCGTCAGGTTTTTAGTGGTTAGCCCCCTCCCCCCCCGCCCCTCCTGGGCGGTCCCTGAGCCAGTCCCAGGACTGGCTGGCTGAGAAAAAATGGCGGTCACTATTAGACACATTTGGCATCAGTTGGGTCTAAGATGATGTCGGAAACATTAATGATAATATTGTATAATAACAATATAGCTCTCAAATTGTTTCCTTCCTGTATTACATATACCGCTCCTGGGACAAATTCTTAATTTTCTGGGAATATTAAGGAAGATTCCAGTATCTATTACTTAATCCAAATTTACAATAAGAAAACTACTGGGATTATAGAAGATACAAGTTGTGCAATAAAACCATCTTATCTGCAAGTCCAAAGTCTGCAACGATTATCAAAAGTACACTCTTTATTATAATGTGCTATGTACATCCAGAAATTAATAGCTGGCACATTTCATACTTTTATTTCATTACAAGTCCAACATGAAACATGTAAGTGTAGGAGCTTATCACAATAAGCCAAATTTAATAAAAATCTTATGAAACAAAACTTAGAACTTATTATAAAGCAGCATCGAAAGGAACTGCGTATACCTAGGTATATTGTCCTATGTTGCCACATCACTGCAAAGTTTGCAATTATCTGCATCCGGTTAGTAAGTATTCTAGATTTCATCACTGTATAATAAGATATCCACGTGGGCAGAGGATTTTATTTTACACGATAATGTTATTGAATACTTATGTTAAATGTTTATAAGAAACTACTTTACATTTGCTGCGTAAAAGAATAAAAAACTTTCATATTCCTATAAAATACCATGTATATAGAAAACGATGCAAAAAATGTTACAGACAGTTTATAGTAAATGGCTATTTATGTATAGTTACTAGTGTGTACACGCGATTTCGTCTTCATGGAAAAGTCGGTTTCCCATACAAACTTGCGCCCCCCCTTTTCACCCCCTAAAAAGATGAATTATCTCTATAACAACATAAATTTTATCTGGTTCGGTTCAGTGGCTTAAGAGTGAAGAGGTAACGGATTGTCAGACAGACACACTTTCCCATTTATAATTTTAGTATAATAATATTTTTTTTATTTCATCTCAAAGTTGCAACTCATCCTCTTAGATAAAAGTTGTAAATACAGAAAGTTCATTACACAGTTGGAGGTTTACGGTAACAGCTGTACTAGTATAGACTGTGTCACAGCTGCCAGCGTCTCCCACCCTGATTCAATACTCTAGGACGTTTTATTCATGACGACGAAAAGAGAGGCTTATCAAAGTCACTTATCATCAAACTATGGATAGTAATTACGGGATTAATAATAATAATATTCTTTATTGGATAAATAACAGAATGCAAATCAGACGGGACCCTGACTCCTAAAAATATAGGATTAACCTGTGTATTGGGAGCCAGTATCTTCCAAAAAAATTACACATTTAGATGGTAATTTCAGACGCTTTTAAGGCAATGTTTAGTATTTTAAAATTAGAAAGTTATTGGGAAAATACATGGTTAGTGATTAATATTTATCCAGCGTGTGAGTGTGTGTGTGCATTTGTATGTGTGAGTGTGTATGTGTGTATTATCTCGAGGTGCCATAAACAAGACTCTGTACACCAATCGTGTGTCTTAAGCCAGTCAATTATCTTACTATTAATTTGATTGTTACTAAAGTTCTTAGTCCGCAACGTTAAATTCAGTTTATTGTACAATAAGTATGCCTGGTAACAAAAACATGCAACCATGTACCTGGTTTTTGTGAGTTCACCATATTTATTGTGCTGTAACTCCATGATAGCGGCACTTGCAACAGTGCCCAAATATCGGGACTCACAGAAAACTAGGTACAAAGGTCATGGACCATGAAAGTTTAAAACAGGATACACGAGTATATATAGGATAAACAAACACTTACCCGTAAAAAGTTGAAGAAATATTCCAAGAAATTCTCATTTTCCGGTTTTCTCAAGGCGTACTTCGCGAGCTCCTGCATATACGGAGTTATGAACGACTTCATCAAGTTGCCATTTTCGTCGAAAACTAGAACATAGAAAGATAGTACGTACATACTCTGGAACCAATGGCATAGGTCCTATGCATAAGATGGTTTTTAAACAAGATTACAAAAAAACGAATCTTATATTAACCGACCCTGTTGCAAAAAAAACTGGCAAAGCGCGAATCTGCCCTCGCTCTATTACGGTTCCGTAAAATGAGTCACAACTTACAAAGTACAGTATGAATCGGCGTTTTCAGTATTTTTTGTTTAAATACAGCATATTTATTAATTTATATTTAATACAGAGATTTGATTTTCAGATAGATCCCGTAACAAAAATGTTCTAAAAATTACAACATCGACGGATTTCGAAGTTTCATTGTTATAAAAAATTAAAATAATATATTTATATCCTATTCAACGAGCTCCAGACAGTAAAATAATCACATGCTGGGGTAAAAAGAAAAAAAATCTTTCCATTTAGGGGAACCCCACGAAAATAATATTTTTTTTTACTAAATATTCGGCTTGGGGTAAACATTATTCTATATAAAATACCAATTACGTTCTGTAAATCTTTCCGTTTACAATCTAGAAATCCGTGACATACGGACAAATAGATGACCGACAGAGTGGCAGAAATAGGGATCCGTTTCTACCCTTTTGGTAAAGAATCATAAAACACTCACAAAAATTGTAACTGATTATAATTCTTCAAAAAAAATAATTGAAAACTTAAAGGTTTATTCGGTCAATAAGCTCAAAAACTTAAAAAAAAAACACAACCTTAATTCAGTTTTGGGGTGCATTACAAGGGTGAATGAAACTTATTTTAGCTGAAAATATAATTATTTCTTGGCTTGTTGAAAACAACAATTTAAAAAACATGATATAGATCGCGAGTTGATTACGGTTAAGCACTTGTTTATAGCACTGCTAAGTGGGTGAGGTCATTGCTACAGAGGCGGATTTGTTATACACACAAACCCTCACACTGAAGTTTTGACAAACGTTAAATTTAATTGACGTCTCTGAGTACAACTACTAAGTCTAGAAATCTAAAGAGGTATAATCAATATAAAATAGTTGTGAAAAGTGCGGAAAGTGATTTTCCAAGTGTTTATCGTAACAAGCTCCATAAGCAATTTTAATAATCTACTCAAACGCCACCTTTGTTTGAGGAAAAATGGTAACCAATATAACAAATTATTTTAAAAATAAATAAAATTTCATTAAAAAGCACTTCTTGAAAAAATGCCCACGACTTTGTCTGCGTGGAATAATTGTTTTGCCATACAAAGTTTTATCCCTTATTAGATAATTTTAAAGTTATTTTTCTTTTCTCGAAAAAATGTTGTCTGTTTATATATCTCCAGAAGTTCATGTATATCTTGTCAAAATCAATCATAATTAATTCACCAGTTTAGGTGTAAAAATATCTTTAAGAAACTAAATAAAAATATCTTAAACAAATAAAATTTTATTAAACGCAAAAAAAAGGAAATGAGCATAAACGTGGCATAAACCAAAAGAAAATTCTACTAATTTTCATACAAACTTATTGATAGGTATCGTTTCTTTTGATGATGGTATTCTTTATAGTTTGCCCATCTAATGACGGTGAAGTTCAGATGTGGTCATGTGGCCAAGGCTTGCATTATTCATCGGCCAAGCCATATAAATCGCCTCGTATGTCTTTCTGTAGCCGTTTAAGAGAGCAGTGACCCCTGATCTGGGTGTCGATTCTGCGAAGTATAACTAAGAATCGTGTATCAGTGAAAAGTGTTTCAGTAAAATTAGATTTTTGACTCAGGTATAGTAACTAAAGCAAATGCATAGGGATAACAATAAAAGGATCTATTCAACGATATCCTACTCGATGGAGTAGATGATGAAAAAAAACATCTCCAGGTTACATGTAGGGGAGCTAGGGGGATCCTAAAAACATTTTGATTTTATTAACTATGTTAAAAAGTGATCCTATTGGCATAGCCTATGTATATACTTTTCAAAGACTATATACTTGCAATTGAGACCTACGTTAACTTTGCAGAATCGGCCCCCCAGGCCAAGTGTATTTTTTTATTTGCTCGATGAGACTTGGTGTTGTATATCAATGCATGAAATCCCTTTACACTGAAAAGATTTTTTTTTAATAAAAAAAATATTGGTGTTTACAAATGATTTAACGTTGAACCTTCCATGCCACACAGGCAATAAAACATATAAATATAACAAGTAATTCACATTGATGTACACAAACCTCGTATTTGATGAAAAAAATCACGATTTTTTGATTTTTTTAATAATATGTAGATTAGGAGTTGCCGCACATTTTTTTTAATCAAACATTTGTTTATATTGTTATCAAACGAATCAACGCCCGAATTTAACCCCAAAAACATTTAGAAAAGAAAATCTTTAAAATTTGACAGATAGTTCTCGTAATGCTCATATCAATAATTTAGGGATGAGGTAAAGCTGTATTATAGAATTATATTATAATTATAACACTTACATAGCATAGCTCGTTTCTGTCGATTCGGCGTACTCGTAGAATTATCGTCAGCACGTCCACATACTGCGAACACTAAAATAACCAACGCGATGAATTTCATTGTGGAGGTCCTTCGCACTCTCGAAAGGGTACTCTTAGGGCAATGTCAGGGTTGGATCCAAAGGCTAGCTTATATAGCCTCGTCGTAGGAAACGAGTACCCTGCACTTACATACGTGGGTTCTAGTTTTAGCAAGGATGTTAAAGGAAAGCCTTAAAGGATACGCTTGTTTAGCGTTTCAAATAAACTTGAAGCAGTAAAAAGTTTTTATGGTTTTGTAATGTATGTTGTTTATACCTTTTTTGTGATTTCATGAAGGAGGTTTTGTATTCTTTATTGGCTGTTTTTTTTTTATAATATTCTACCAAGATGAATTTCAAATAAAACTATTTCAAGATTCTTTTGTTGCTTTTCTTTAAGTTATTACATACGTGAAAATTATATGTTATTTATTATATCGATGTTTGCTGTCGAGTAACTGCTTGAAGATGTTGCAAAATGAAATTTAAAAGAAATTAATCACAATATTGCGGAGAGACTGTAATAAACACACAAAGATATACTTATAAACTTAACATTTGTAGTTTTTATTTTTGAAATTTTGTCTATAAATGTGTAGTTTAGGCTTAAGTTTTTACAAAATACAGTAAGTAATAACAAAATAATATACGCAAATAGTTGTAATTTCGTTTAAAATAAGTAGATATAATATATTTCAGATCTTCTTCTCGTACCTCAATATCCTAAGCACAGCTATACTTAATAACAGCTTGATGTTTATCAACGTATATCTACTCAACATAAAATATTATTAAGGTTGTCAAACCCTTAAAAAAATAATACTATATTTCTGCCATTTTTGAACACTTGCAAGTTAAAGTCTGTCATGTGGAAAACATAGACAAAGATCTCGAGGGCGCAAGTGGTTAACCTGTTCGGCTGCGATCGCTGAAGTTAAACATCTTCCTCAGTGGTCGGTCATTGGATGGGTGACCAAAAATTTACTATCTCGAGTTCCTCCGTGCTTCGGAAGGCACTTTAAGCCGTTGTCTCGGTTGCATCTGCAATCGTCAGCACCCACCAATCCGCACTGTGCCCTATCGTCAAAGCCTTCCATAGGGAAGGCCTGTGCCCCAGCAGCGGGTAATAGACTGATGATGGTGTGGAAAAGAAATCCGTATGGTGGTTTCTCCAAAGCCTCACCACTAAAGACCTCACGGCGCATCTTCGGTTGGCACTAGGGAGTGGTGAGTGGTACACGAGAAACCTTTTCAGAGTCATGGGGCCACCCATTCCCTGTAGGATGGACTGTAGTATTGCCTAGCGGATGGGGGAAGCTCAGGCGTGGTTTGTTTGCCGGGTTTCAAGGTGTCGCCTACTCGAGAGGTTCCGGGTTCGAATCCCGGTCCCGGCAGATGTCTGTGTGATGAATACGAGCATTTGTACTCCAGTCATGGATGTAAAATATGTAAATCATATATATAATCATTTATATATATATATATATATATATAAATATACTTATGTATGTATCAATATATGTATTCCATCCGTTACCCTAGTATCCCATAACATAATCATGCAGTGCTTACTTTGGGGCTAGGCTAATTGGTGTGAGTGTTGGAAATATTTATTACTAGCTGTACCCCGCGGTTTATTTTATATAGGGATATTTGCCCGCAGTAAAACGTAGCCTATCTGTTAATCCAGGGTGTGAGCTAACTCCATACCAAATTTTATAAAAATCGCTCCAGCCGTTTAGACGTGAAAAAGTAATAAACATACACACTCACAAACTTTCGCCTTTATAATGTTAGTGTGATATTTATTTCTTTTAGCCCATCCCCAAACAGGTGGAGCTGTACAATGTGCGGGTAGTAGTCACATACCCATACTGGCCCAAGCAGAGAGAGGGTGGATACGTTATTACGCTATCAGGTAGATTACGTAATCCCTAAACTCCATCTCTTCCTATCTCCTTTGCAAATTTCTCCGTCCAGATCCGGGTGTCTCACTGTGACCATAATCTTATCCCCAACGTAAAGCTCTTGTATTTCAGTTACCGAAAGAAATAAAACACTACCCATTGCATAATCGCAAGGTGTGTTTAGTTTGCTTAATAAATTATTGGCTTTATTTGTTAATTGACAAATTACATTGCTTGCGACCCTTTTTTTCACAAATTATAGAAATACACAAATAATAGACTAAATGAGATATAATATCTAATGAACATGTGAAGTGCCACAGAAACCGTGCTCTTCTCTGTGGAGGTTACTTCCCCAGACGGTGCTTCGATCCGAGTGAAAAATAAGCTACGCGTAGGCTATAAACCTTTCCTCTTAAAAATCTGTTATGAATAGTCCATACAAATCGCAATTTCAAAGCATTTTGCAACGAGTTCGGTTTCTTTAGAATCACAGTAATACTATTTTAGTTTTAACGTATGAATCTGAATTGTACGACCCTATAACTAAACAACATTTCATATCTTAACAAGCATTAATCATACTTGTCCGGCGGGATCTTGGTTTGGATGTTTTATTGCGAGTCCTATTCGTAACGCATCCAAGGGCTGTATTCTTAAAATCGATCATCGATGTATCGTGTGATCTCTTACGTACTGCATAAAAATGCATAAGTTAGAGAAGGATGGAAGACGTACACGGCACTTTATATCGGTAAGAGTACAGGCCTGGATCCAAGGAGTCATTACGCTCAATACTTACCTACTCTGTAAGGACTACAATCACAACATGAACAACTTTTATTATCTGTTATAAAAATGTGTATAATTAAAATGAAGAGTTGTGAATAAAATAGCGCATGAGAAACCTTAGGAATCTCAGGGAGCTCGATGGCGCAAAGTGGTTAGCGTGTTTGGCTCGACCTTTCAAGTTAAGCAACTATCGCAGTGGTCGGTGATTGGATGGGTGACCAAAAATTTATTATCTTGAGCTCCTCCGTGCCACGTTAAGCTGTTGGTCCCAGCTGCATCAGCAATCGTTAGCACCCTCCAAGCCGCACTTGCCCCTAGTGGTGGGTCATGGCGCAACCTCCCTATTCCATCCCTAGGGAAGGCCTGTGCCGCAGTAGGCGGAACATTAAAAGGCTGATGATGATGATGAGAAACCTGAATACTATCATTTTTTTTATAGATAAGTCCGACAAATGACTCCACTCCACCTGATGTTAAGTGAAGGTGAAGTACAGACGCGAAGATAGCTGATACAGCAGTTCTACCTGCCACACCAGCCATCCTCACCCTGCCGGCCTGCATATTGCTTCTTCACGCCTCTTTAAAAGGATCCCAGGTTGTAAGAGGGAGGGAATTTGTGAGCGGGCAGAGCATTCCATTTACGGTTAGTGCGACAAAGAAATGAGTCGCCAAATTTCATTGTACGCGTTGGAATTGTGGCCACAGTTAGACGGTGACAACGTAGGCCAGCGCGCGTGGTCCTCTGAAGGAAAGGGGAAGGTGGAATAAGAAAGAATAACTCCTTAGAACACTCGCCGTGGTACATACGATAGAACGCGTTTAGTGGCGCCACGTCACGGTGTAATTGAAGAGGCTCGAGGTGTTTAGTCACCTCCTCATCGCCTATGATGCGGATGGCGCGCCACTGTAACCTATCCAAAGCATCGAGCAAGTACTTGGCGAAGCGATATTCTACGCAGGACCGCATTTGCGTTTTGTACAACAAACACAGTTGAACGGGTGTGAAAAAACGCCGCACCTTGTTGAGGACTCCGAGTCTGCGTGAAGCTGTTTTGATCACGGTTTCGACGTGTAGTCCTTTGGATTCAGGTCTGAGCGAACTTCCGTACCGATCATGGTAATATTGGTCTGTAGCGTTCGTGTTGTGATCACCCCAGATATATACGTCAAGTACGCTACCATATTGACGACCATTAATCAGGGAGTGATCCTCTAGGTAGCGGGTCAGATGGTTGTTAAGGACATTTTCTAGAACTTTACATAATACTGAGGTGACTGCTATTCGTTGATAGTTAGCCGGGTCTGAGCGATCCCCTTTTTTGGGCACCGGTTGCACGTTAGCATCTCTCCAAGTCTCCGGCTTACGCATACACGCCCCAAAGAGTACGAGCATTGGTACAAGCGCGTGAGCACGGGAGACAACTCCGCCGCACATTTTTTGAATACTACTGCTGGGATGCCATCAGGTCCACTAGTTTTCCGGACGTCGAGTAATTGCAATTCGGCACGAATCCCACGCTGCTTGATTTTAATATCAGGCATCGTTGTGCCACAATGAGGTATGATGGTGGCAGTGCATTGCAATTATCGATTCGGGAGTTAGCCGCAAAGAGTTTTGCCAGTAAATCGGCTTTCTCCTGCAGCTTATGAGCTAGTGTTCTTTTGCACAGCCTTGGCCAAACGCCAATAGCTACGGGAGCCCGTAGGATGCGTTATGAGTTCGTGACCAACACGTGCAACGCGCTGGGCATCCACTCTAATGTAAGGTCTTGGAAGCAATATTGTAGGCTGCTTTTAGTGGATCGACTCCGGGATCCTTAAGAGCGCGGATCCTCTAATCCAAGCACGATATGCTGCTTGCTTACGCGAAGCAGATTCAGCACAATCGTGATTGAACCAGAGGTTACGTGTGCCCTTACTGATGAGATTGGAATGAGGAATATAGTATTCTCTCAATACCCATTACAATCTCCTCAGTAATAGCAACGGCGCTGGCTGATAGGTCATTGTCACTGAAGCAGCGCTGCTTCCAAGGAACGGATGCAAAGTAGTCACGCATACCGTTCCAATCTGCCGACTCATAGTACCAGATCCGGCGTTTTACCACTGTTGGACGCGGAGGCTTGGCCTGTGGCGCTTTGGCAGATATCAGGCAGTAATCCGAAGAGCCCAGGGGGGCTCCTACCACAACTTGATAGCCCTGTGGATGGGTCGTGAGCAGAAGGTCCAGTAATGAAGGCGCTTGACTTGAAATATCTGGAATTATGGTGAGCTGATCGACCAGTTGCTTCAAGTCATGCGTGAGAGCAAATGCGTGAGCAGAGATCCCCGCAGGGTCAGTTTTCGAGGATCTTAACTAAAAATTGTGGTGAGCATTAAAGTCCTCCAAAAACACCAGTTCTGCATTGGGTAATTGCTCCTGTGCATCATCTGCTGCCCGACTAAGATGTTCTAAAAGTCGAGTTGTCTCAACATCGCCAGTATGGGATCTTTAGAGGCACACCTAGACTCTGGCTTGGGGACCAGAGTCGACGTGTACCCCTAACATGGAAAAGGAGGGATCTTCCAAGCAGCGGAGATGGCGACAACAAACATCCGCCCGAACATACAGGCGTCGTCGTCAGCTTGGAAAAAATGGTTTCCCAAACAAAGTACCACACTCTTTTCACC